ATTGGTTGTGATCGGTTCTGTAGAGGCGTTCACACGGACACAAGGACTTCGTCGGAACTTTGGTTCGACCTTGCTAAACTGGAAACAATGAATCGTCGAGAACTGCAGCAGTTGTGCAAGAAATGTGGCGTAAGAGCAAACAGCAAGTCTACGACGCTTCTAAATGACTTAAGACAATTCCACAATCACCATCTTACGAATTCATCGTCAATTCTTCACCACCCTTTCATAGTTCAAGCTAATTCTTCATCACTTATCCCAAATAAAGATAACAAAAAGCCGTTTCTTCCAAATGGACTGAAGCTCGATAAAACTCCTAGCCTGTTCAGTTCTGTTGAGTCGCCCGGTCAGTGGATAAGTGGCGAGGTGGACAAGYTAAACAAGGCGGTTAAATCAAAGGGAATTATCAGCAAAACTGTAGGAGAGTACAAAGGTATTCAAGATGAAGCCCAACAAGGTGACTTGCTCCTTGGTAAAGAAATGTATTTAGCAAAAAAGGCTAGTGTTTCTGCAATCTTGAATAGCACCTCAAACAGGCTTTTCATGATCAGCCATTGGCAGAAGAAACAGATAGAACAGATGGGAAAAGAGAAATTTACCGAGTACAAAACAATGTTAGCAACAAGTGGCCGCAAATTTCACTCATGTGTGACTGACATTCTGCAAGGTGATGCAGATGAAAGCGGACATTTTCCAGACTTAGTTTCAGGCTTTATCAAAAGTGTCTCCAAAACAGGAATTTTAAAACTTCTCACCAAAGACAAAGTATTAGCCACTGAGGAGCATGTAACACACTCTTCTATTGGCTACTCTGGCACATTTGATGGGCTAGCAATTTACAATGGAGTGCCATGTGTAATTGAGTGGAAAACATCACAAAACCCAAGGCCAACACTAGAAAGCTGTTATGATGCCCCACTGCAGGTTGTAGCTTATGCCGGGGCTATCAATTCTTACCCTGTAATGAGGATTCCAGTAACAAATTGTATGATTGTTGTCGCACATCACGACGGCTCAGCGGCAGATGTTCATTGGATGGACTTGGATACTTGTGAGAAATTCTGGAAAAGCTGGTTAATCAAGCTTTTAAACTACAAGGAAAAAACCGAAGGTGGTTTAAATTAATAACATGGAAATAACAAAAATGTAACTTTTTCATCTAGTGTTGTAAAATGGGTGGACACCTACATCATTATTATTTATTTTTCACGGAAGAAAATAAATTATATTATTTTTTGGTACATGACTGGTACACATCACTCAATGTCAAAAGTTTAAGCTTAGCCACTATCATTGAGCTTGCCAGGCTCTTCTAAGGGGAGATGTAACCCTTCCTTTGGGATATTTAGAAGTTTCCATGAAATTAGAAAATATATGATATTTAGGGGATTTTTAAAAAAATTATAGCCTTTATGGCTGAACCTTGTGTTTTCCTCATTGTTTTCTTAAAACAATACTTGGTTCTATGCCAGAAACGATC